GGCGTTCCGGGAACGCCGGACCCCCTTCACGTTTCGGGGGATCGAACCGGCGCGTCTCACCTTGTTCCCCCCCCCTCTCCCCCCCCCCGCAGTGCAGAGGGGGTCCGACGTTCTGGGAACGCCGGACCCCCTTCACGCTTCGGGGGAGGGAGGGGTGCGCAGGCTTGGTGTTGTGGCCATCGAGGGGATGGGACGGAACCCCTTCATCCCCCACAACACAAAGGGGGTCCGGCGTTCCGGGAACGCCGGACCCCCTTCGTGCTATGCCCATCGTCAGATCGGATCTCGGACCCCCGTCCTCCCCCGCGGCACAAAGGGGGTCCGGCGTTCCCGTCCTCCCCCGCCGCACAAAGGGGGTCCGGCGTTCCGGGAACGCTGGACCCCTTTTGTGTTGTGGCCATCAAGGGGAGGGGACGGACCCACTTCTTCCCGCGCACCTCAAAGGGGGTTCGGCGTTCCTGGAACATCGGACCCCCTTGGTGTTGTTGTCAGCGACGGGGAGGGAGGGGCCCCCTTACTCTCTGGCAGCACCGACATGGGTCCGGCGTTCCGGGAACGCCAGACCCGCACACACAACGGTCGTGGAGTACGGCGTTCTTGGAACGCCAGACCCGCTGCGTGGGGCGGTAGCGAAACTCCCGTGCCGCGACGGATGCTTCTTCATATCACTTAGTGTTGTTTTCTTGCTGTTTTTTTCTGTGCGACCCTTCATGAAAAACAGCGTCTGCCTCCGGCCCCGAAAAATGGTACGGCAGGTCTAAGCTCTACCACGACAAACCATGGGCTCTTGATTGGGTAGGTGGCCTTCATATGCCGGGTTGTGGAGCCGTTGTCTTTTAGAGCGATGACAATGGCCTGAGTTGGTACTGCTGCGGAGGGGTGGAGAAATCGAAAGCGGGGAGGTTTACCTACGACGGCAGGAAGTTCAGGACCTTCTTTCTTACGTCTGTCTATGACAGAGAGGGGAAAAACTGGGTCAAGGAAGATAAGAAGGCATCTCTTGACCATCGGCTCTTCCAAGGATACGGGGTCAAGGCTTTGTCGATGAAAGCGTTTGACGTGTGCGGGAACGGAACGGAGTTCCAAATGCTGGATCCGAAAAAGTTTCTTTCCAAAACCAATGGCTACCGCGTGACTGATTCCGTGCCTGTCGTCGACAGCGCTTTCATGCTCAGCAAACCTTTGGTCCAATTCAACAGCCCGACGGTCCAACTCGCAGCTTTCGTTATGCGATACAGGGAAGAGTTCGCGAGGCTGCCTGCTGCCCAGCAAGTTGACCGTGTTTTCGTGCCGATTGACGCCCCGTCTTCGTTGGCTGCGGGGCCCAAACGACGCCAAGATCAGTCGGCCAGAGCGGGTGGAAAGAGGAAGCAATTGCCAACTGCCCCGTTTTCATCGGCTGCGGTTGTTCTGCCCGCTCCGGTTCCGCCCTCGGATCGGCAAGGTCGCGATGCGGCCGAGCTGTCCAGCGAGGCCATAGACTACGACGACGGAGCTGTGCACTATCGGGCTGGTCCCCAACATCCGTCACGGGGAGGTGCAGGTGCCTCCGATGACGAGGAATGCAAGGGCCAAGATGGGGAGGGCGGTGGTTGGGTTGGGGAGGGCGGTGGTGAGGAGGGGGAGGGCGGTGGTGAGGAGGAGGAAGGCGGTGGTGAGGGGGACGACGGTAACGAAGGAGATGTTGAAGGTGAGGACGATGGCATGGACGAGAAGAGAGACGATGTTGGTGAGGAAGTCGAAGACAATCGCTCCTCCCAATTTCACCGTCGCCACCACAACGAATCGCAGGGGCGCTGTGAGGACGACGCCTGCCGCGTCGGTGACGCGGTCGATGCTGGTGGCCAGCCTGCAGCCTCCCGCGGAATGTCGCAGTCCGATGACCAGACGAAGGATGGGAGAGACGAACCTGGCTCACGAGGAAAGCGAAAGAGGGGAGAGGCGTCGACCTCTCCTGCGAGTCGAACAAAACAGGCGCGGGCCGACGCCGTCAATGAAGCTCGCGGAGCGTTGACAGCATCACAGGAAGCGCGGACTCCTCGGAAAACTGCTGGGGGGGGGCGAAGTGGCAGCCGCGGGAGCGGTCGCGGCGGCGGTAGGAAAGGCTCGCAGAGGTCCAGGGCACCTGAGTTGCGGGACTCGGGGGATGAGGGCGAGGGGGTGGGGCCTCGCATGCCCGAAGACATTGAAGAGTTGGTTCAGCACGCCGCGCCCGTGGATATGACATGATGTTTCTTCCTCGAATACGACGAACAGGGCTTCGCCAGGCAAGACGTCCAGGTTGTTAACGTCGACGTTAATAGGATCGAACCCATTCCCCGTGGGAAGATCCTATTTACCACCGTTCGTTGTCTGAGAGTATTGTGAGAGGCATCGAGAGTGCCATAGAAAGCTCCATCAGTGCTGACCCGGGGGTGTGGGATAGACCTGAGCTCGTTCTTGCGTCGGTTGACCCCAACGTCATCGTCGGGGGGCAGGGAAGGCGAATCACGCCGGACGAGTTCTTCCAAAGAGATTCTGCAGAGTTCGACTGGTACGCTGTCTGCGGTCAACATACTGCCGAGGCCATGAAACGGTTGGTTGGAAAGGACTCCCCCGCGGTCAAAGTCTACGGCCTCCGCACGTACTCTAAAGTGTGAGTCGTCTTTTTCGATGATGACCACACACGCGGGTACTTCAATGTCTCCCTCTTCAACAACACACGGGAGACTCGCGCCATGATGTTATCCTTCCAGGACGCTGTGCGTGATATGCGGCAATGGTGGATCGACAACAACAGGATTGAGGCACCCAAAGCTAAGGTCAGCGAGAAGGATGTCGTCGCCGTTGCGCATCAGAAAACGTGGCAGAACTTCCTGAGGGCCTGCATAGGAACGGCGTGCGACAAGGCGTTCGTGAAACAGGCACTCGACAACGAATACAGTAAGGATTGGAATAACAAACTTCGGGGGTACCTGAACCTCGCCACATCCACCCGCACGGTTTGGCCGCTGGTGGAGAAGTTCTTCGCGATGTTCGAGTAGGGTAAGCTGCCAATCGGCGACGGCAAGATCCCACTTGAGATGCCGGGAAGGATGGAGGGGCGCCTGCCCGGCCCGTACACTGACGAGAACAAGGGACAACGAACTTTGTACCACTGCATATATGCGAGAGATGGTCCCAAGGGCTCCACCGTGTCCTGGAAGGATTTGTGTCCTACGTACTTCAAGAACTTCAGGGACATGACATGCTGCGAGAGAGAAGTCGCGCTACTCCTGCTCATGTCGGGGAAAGTGGTGGCAACAAAAGTGAGAGTCACGCCTCCGAGGGTGAACACAGAATGTCTCCTCGACATTATGCGCAAGGAGAGATACATGGTCCGCATGTTCAACTACGTCGTGTTTCGCGCCGAGGGAAGGGCAGGGGACGAATGGAACGACGACTTCTTCATGTCGTACAAGGACCTGGAAGAGAGGTATGCTTCAAACGGGTTATGCGCAGATGAATGGGAGAAGCAACGGGAGAAGCTGCATAGCAACTTAGTGAAGACGATCCCTCAGCGACTTGGAGGAGTGGAGGAGGCGAGGCAAGGTGCGGGCTTGGGGCCTACAAAAGTGATGTACAAGGAGGCTCCGTTTCACTTCAAGGTTTTTATATACACCACGATTGATAAGCTCGATATGCTTCGAGCGGAGGTGAAACGGATCGCCTCCAGTGCACGCCATCTTGTGTGGGACAAACTC